GCAGCGTGCCTACAAACGCTGCGCCGGTTCTGCCTGCGTTCTCTGCAGGACCCTTCGGTACTAGTCTCTAGTGTACGCGCTCATGGCTGACTAGGCCTGCCTGACTAAGGCACTCGCGACCGCATGTGCTACAGCACCATGCGTTTGATGTCGATGGTGTACAACCCATCGGTGTTTACTCCTACCGCACTTGCCGCTTTTTCTCTACATGCATGAGGCCTTTCTCCCCCACTGCACGCCGATCAACCGCCTTCGATTCCAATGACCTGCAATCAAGATTAGAACTTAAGAGGCCCACGGTGATCATGTCCTGTTAACGAAGTTTCGGTTTCCCCACATGCCGCTTCCTAATACTCAGCTTACTAATAGTTGTTTCGGTATCCGCGTCGAACTCATACGGCTCACATAACCGAGCCACCTCAGATGTCTCAGCAAAAGTATGCGGTCCACTGCATGCATTCCACTTCGACCCACTACTTGCGTTTCCTGCTTTTCTGTCGCACTAACCGAATCGCAGACACTGTTGACATAACCGCTCGAGCTATCTCACGTGCAGTCACTACATTGTCGACGTTTCGCAGAAGTATAGAAAAACGGACAGCACCATGGATTTGTACACCATCGCCTTCGTGCCAATGGTAAGCTGATGGTTGTTCCACGCTCGTACTCTAGCTTCCTGAATGCCACCGCTGCCTTCGACACGCGGATACGCAGCTCTCTGTGAAGCTACTGGTCAGTCGACATCACACTCCCAAGGTAGCATAAGCGGGAGGTGGTTTCCAATACTTAAGCACCTTTGTTGGTTTTCGGCAACATTGAAGATTGCACCTCCGGTGAAGGTTGTAAGAGACAGACAGTTTTGCTTGTGTTGATGGTGAGCCTGAATTTGTCCGCTGTCGAAGCCATGGCTCTAGTCATATGCCACAACTCATCTGCGCTGCTTGCCAATAACGCACAGGTGTCGGTGAACAACAACATACGAATAGTTGTCTCACAGATTAGCATGCTGGCACCGAAAGGAAACACCGTAAGCAAATGCAGCTTCAAGCGCACAAGACGCCATGACATGAAGACAAATACTAACCAGGGCAGGAGCTAAGGCAGTCTTGCTTCGCATTGGAGACTACTGCAAAGTCATTCGAGGTCAGTCCACTCAGCTGCATATTCGCACGCATACCACTGCGTAGACATTCAATTAAATTTACAGCTACTCGGGTTACCAAACTTACATAACACTAGCCAATATGCCTCGCAGTTCCGCGTATTAAACCCCTTGGTAAAATCAACAAACAGCGGGTACAACGGCTGGTGTCGTTCTCTGCATTTCTGCTGCAACTGATGTGCTGCAAATGCCAAATCCATGGTATTGCGATCCGGACGGAATCCACAGTGCTCTTCCGCCAGGTTCGAGTCCACAACCCGACTGACGAGACGGTTGAGCAGGATTCAGGCAATCGCCTTGCCCACACAATCCAGGAAGGTAATGCCACGATAATTCGTGCAACGCTGCTTGCCCTTTTTGCCCATGTCCAGTGGTAGCACAAGGGTATGCTTCAGCTTAGGAGGCACCTGCTCCTCAATCCACACTCGTTGCATCAAGGGGTGTAACGGTAGATCTGCATTATGTCTGCAGGCAGCGTCTGAGATCGCATGAAGTAGCGGCCTCAGCGGTTCCAATTTAGGGCGATACGCCGGTTTTTTGGAGTAAAAGAATTCCTTGTGTTAGCGGCGTTCGGCGTAAAAAGCATCTACCTCGCTTCTACCACCATGCATTTTTAATATGACAGTCCTCTCGGGTCAGTCACCGTCGAATTCTGCGAAACTGTCTATTCTTGCCCAAGTCACTGGGGCCTGGCACATGTGCAGCAAATGCTGCATCCTTCTCCGATACCAATGCGTTAATCGTTGCATTGTTCTCATCAAACCAATCAGGCCGCTTACAGTTTTTGCGCACGATGGTCTCCTCGGCATTAGCTATCACCTGATCACAAATGTGCTGCCATAGGTCGTCCACTGTGGCAACGCATTCCACCTCACACAGGCGTGCAGCCATCGCCTTCTCCAGCTCAGTACGTTTCGCCACAGTACCGAGGGAATGTTAAAATTACTTCTCCTATTTACTGCTGGAGTGCAATACATGGCTTTACGGAAATATCTGTACAGTTTAATTCGCACCATTTTGTGCTCGGTGCCGCACTTAGCTCTGCGCAGTACACGTGTCATGCGCACTTCACGCATATCATGCTGACGTACGATGACATAGTCAAGCAGGTGAACGTGACCACTCTGTGGAGGCGTCCAAGTTGCTATGTCACTCGCATTCAGTGCAAACGGAGTGTTCGTGATCGTCAGGCCGTGAGTGGCACAAAGTGAGAGCAGCCTGTTACCGTTCGCATTCACTGAACCCATGAATTGCGGACCGGTGACATCTGTCCACTCCCATGCATCACGCTTAACGCGCGCGTTTGAAGTCCCCAGTAAAGATAGTCGGTCGCTCCTCGCAAGACCGGTTATCACGGAGGATAGCTGAGTGCAGAATTGTACCACGCGTTGTCATTAGGATAACACATGTCGGACCGTTGCTGATTTCCGATCCTTGTCAGACGCTGAGGCAAAACACTGTCGGTGGGGGGGGGCAATACTTGAATAACAACCTCAGCTTCCTAATAGATCTTCATCGTCGGCTAGGTGGTTGCATAGCTTGGGCGATTCTCCCAGATGCATACAAACCTTAACACAAACCGGCTGCGTGATCTTGTGTAGACAATTTGACCAGCACGATCGGCAGTATGTTACACTACCACGCCATCTGTAGCTTATTGCTATGTGGGCAAGGTGGGACCACTTTTGTGCTTGTGAATTCGGGCGCCAGGTAGCCAGATTTGTGAAGACGAAGTCTAGTTGCGCTTCAAGTCTGGTCAGCAAGGATGCTGTGCTAGTCAAATCTTGTGCCTTGATAAATAAGAAATGACTTTTATTCAAGTCCCCAGTCATGACAGACAGCGGTTGATTTTAGACAGTAACACCGAGGATACATCATCAGCAAAAATTTCCAACTGATAGTTGTGTGTCGATCTATGCATACATTCCCAATTATAACAGAAATTAAACCACTCTAAATCTTTGGCTTATATTCAATCTGATAGCAGCTGATTGCAACTGTAGAGTAGGTCAAATATGTTGACGAGTTGCACCAGTGTTGTTGGACTTCGGTGATGATACCCCGTCCGTATTTCTGATGCATTCCGGGGCGTTTCGGATCTGATGGGAAGATAACCAACAAGTGGAATAACCTTATCTTCTTTATTAGAATGTAATAAGCCTTCTTGAAACATCAAAGTAACTGCATTCGATTATCCTTTTTTCTCTGTACCAGCAATAAGATCCACCGTTCTTCCAAGGAGTGGTTGAATGTTGCTCGATAAATTCAGTGGAATTTGTGTCTTCTCTCGAACGTACGAGTCTAGGACTGACTTGCAAGCAAGCACCATGTTTCCTCAATTTACAAGCATCTTTCCACTTGATTCGTTGGCAACGATTTCAGATTTTGTGAGTATATGGGGCGATACGCGGATGTACAGTAGTGTCCTGGTGAGATTTCAAAATGTTGATGGAATATTACAACATATATGTCAATAACGAGTCGTTAAACACGATGGCAAAAGTGTTTTATGAATTCAGTAATCCCATAGTAGCTGGAGTACCGATGGTTTTTCACTGAGAAAAGCTATGACCGCTTTGAATGCCCTGGTCTGCCACTTGACGCCCTCTAACAGCAGGCGGGCGAACGACCGAATTTAGCATTCACCATGCAGTGACCATTTGTCCTTGCATCAACCGTGAACCTGCTGGAATGTCGAAGGTAAAATTCTCCTGCTGAATTGCTTTACTCCCCACTTAGTAATTGCTGTTTATTTGCTGATCTGAGTGAAGTAAAAGCTATTGCTAGACACAACAGGTGCAAGCTGAACACTTTATTGGATGTTTCTTTTTTGATTGCTGTAGTGTAATTGCTTTTTCTTCGATTGCTTTCACCTAAGACAACTGTGTCACTTGTGAGTGACATGTTGATGACACCGTTGATTCCGTTTTTCGTCTTCATCTTTTCGTACGGTTTTTGTTTGCTTCGCCCCGGCTTCTGTTTCACAATCTTTCCTGTTTTTTTTACTTCTTCTACTTAGTGAAAATCGACCCCACACCGAATACGATATGCGTGGCCAATCACACAACCCCTTTTGACTGGTGTATATTGGCATCCGATAATACCTACGCCGTTGTAAGTTGAACCTTATACACATGATCCCGTTATATGGATTTTTTGTCAGTCTGCTTTCATTAGCCACATGATCTCCTACGCCCTGCCAGTTCATTGGCACAGCTTTGCGATTTTTATCTTCCACACTTCCTATGTGCTTCGTCTAGTTTGCACACGCGTTACTTTCCGGTTTGCAATGTCCTGTAACTGTTGGAATTATTTTCTTATGTCTATTCTTGTCTTTAGTCTCACGAACGTTTTACATATCCTTATCCGACTATTTTGTGACACATAGACTCTGTCTGGTGCAACTCTCTTGCCTTCACCTAGAGACTTGGATTACATATGCACTTAACTTGGTCAATTTTCTTGTGGTAGTCACCCCTTTATTCCTCAGTAATCTGAGCTATATTTCTAATGCTAACTGTATGAAAGAGCTTATCCAATCACCTTACCATACTTTTATTTTCATCATTTGTTTGCATCGCCCCTCTGCGACTGTACTACCATCTTCAGGGAAACTGCAAACTAACACGTGCATTTCGCCATAACTCTTATACGATCTCAGTTATCTTATTGGGTTTGCTATCCACAATCTTATCTTACCCACCTTTACGTTGTGTCAAACATTTTGTTTCTTTTCCTCATGTAATTGTACAAATCTGAAAAGGAATTATTGAAAACATGTTCGCTTGCAGCGAGTTGATCTATCCACAATTGGTCACAAACGAAGATAGTCCTGGTCAGAGGCAGGGCACGGACGGTCATTTTAATGAAATTGCCTTACGCTGGTGTGATTGTCTTAATCATTACCAGGAAAGTACGAGCGATACGCTCACTAGGGCTCCGGATTCCACAAAAGTAAATTGCATGCGGTTTTTTGCATACCACGTCTTCGACCCCGGCCGAACCCCAGGTTCAATGTTTCCCACCGATGGAAGACTCAGACTCAGAAGCTACGAAATGCCGCTTCACTGATCGGTCCGTGAATTTCTCAGAGCCTGTCTGTGAACTTCTGAACACCGAGGATCCATGGACCACTCAAAAGCGCAAGGGCCCACGTAATCGAGTTCAGACGTCACCTGTTGATAAACAACAATCCAATCAGTTAAGCGCCTCTAGTTCTGCTCCCACAGGTTCATCACTGATTTCGCTGAGGCGTCATAATCTCATGGTCTTCCACGTACCGGAGTCAAAAGATGAAAACCCTCAGATACGTTATGATCACGATGTTGAGTTCCTCCAGGAGCTCATCGATAGACTCTTGGATGTGGGCGAAGACAGTGTGACGATTAAACAGGTAATCCGACTTGTCCAGAAAACCAACCAGTCATGTCGACCTCTGAGGATCATCTTTGCAAATCCTAATATGCCGCAGCTCATACTGTCTCGTCTGTCAAGGCTGAAAGGCATAAAAGTCCACATCCGCCGAGACTTGGGACCCGAAGGCAGGGATTGTTTGAAGACTGCGGTCATTGAGCTCAAACGCCGTACAGAGGAAGGTGAGACTGACTTACAAGTTGTAAATTTTCGGGTGATCAAGAAGGGTGTACGAACCCGTATCAACCGGTTGCTCAACCTCCAGACACGTCTCGCAGTACCTCCCAGGACCTCCGTGTCGCATTCGCCAACGTGTGCAGCCTAATGAACAAACGTGACGAACTGTGCCGCTTCGTTGTCTCGGAGCGGCCGGACGTTTTAGGACTTGCAGGGACGTGGCTGAACTCCGACGTCATACCCCAAGAAGTCGCGCTGTCAGGATACTCTTGTTTCCGATGCGACCGAAAATCAAAGGCTCACGGTGGTGTTCTGTTGTACATAAAATCGTCACTATCAGGCAAACTTACTTGCACCAGTTTACTAATGCATTTTACAGTCCTGTAGTTGTATTTGCCTGATGTGAACTGCTGAAAAGAGATCTCGTTATACTAAAACTGTTCAAATCGTCCCATCCGTCCTCTTTGAAACTTACCAGCACCTATCGGAGCGAGGATAGTTTATGTGAGCAATTGTGGCGCACCATCCGCCTCAGGTGCGCAGAACTAATAGTGGGGGTTATCTACCGGAGCCCATTAAACCGTTGTTGCGATTGGCTACCATATGTACAGAAGCACATGAGCCGCCCTCAGTTCTTACGGATGGGGGATCTAAATTTATTTTAGATATTTTGGCCAGACGTTCGACTTCTTCCCGGTTATGGCAACGTTGAAGCACAATTCGCTAAAATGACTGTTGAAATTGGGGCAACGCAACATGTCATCCAACCGACGCGCGTAACTCCGCACTAGGCATCTTGTCTGGACCTAATGTTTACGAGCTGCGAGCAGAAGCTGAACGAGATCAGAGTCATCGAACCTCTGGCGAACAGCGACCACTGCTCTATTGTGGCAAGCGTAGAACTGTCGTTACCATATTACAATCAACGGAAGCCGACATTCAACTATTGGAAGACGGACTTCAACGGACTCGTCCAAGCCGCAAGTCAGACTGATTGGACACTACCACAGGATGCGTCACTTGAAGCGTGGTGGTCATTAATGAAGGGGAAGCTTCACTCGCTCTGTACTCGGTTCGTTCCCCTTAAGTATTCAAAGATCGGACCTGTCAAACCGCATTGGTTTGGTAGGGAATACAGACAGTTAGCGCGACGACTTCGTAAACTTTGGGATGGGTACATCAGCTCGGGTTGTGATGAAGATTACGCGGTGTACAAGAAACAGCGTAACTTATGTAACGCCGCAAAGATCAAGAAACGCCGTCAGTTCGAAGAGGAGCTAGCATCCTCGGCCACAACTGCACCCAAACGAATATTTGCCTACTTGAAACGTCAACTGAAACCTGGAGACGACCTACCGGTCTTAGAGAGCTTAGACGGGAAGACACTCATTTCAAGCGCAGAGCGCGCGGACGCCTTGGCTACGCACTTCCTCACCGTATTTTCCAGTAAACCGGCGGCTGTTCCAGTACCGGCACAGGTTGCGCCAGTCTTGCTCGACAGCCTACAATGTGATGCAGTCGAAGTGTATCAGCTACTCGTCAACCTCGATGGTGCAAAGCCCCCCGGGCCAGACGGACTTCACCCACTAATACTCAAGTCCCTATCGATTATCATCTCACCAGTTGTGACAAACCTTTTCAATAGATCGCTCTCTGAAGGATGTGTCCCGAACGACTGGAAATGCTCGATAGTGAGACCGCTTCCCAAGGGTGGTGATCCGAGTAAAATAGAGAACTATAGACCGAGCTGTTTGACTTCGGTATTATCCAAAGTTCTCGAGAAGGTTGTGAAAAAGTGTCTGCTGTCGTTCTTCGAATCGATGTACGTATTGACGCCAGCGCAACACGGCTTTAGGAAAGGGCGATCCTGCATCACCAACTTGATGTACGCAAACCACCAGTGGGTACGAGCTCTCAACGAACGGAAGGATGTTGACGTGGTGTACATCGACTTTAGTAAGGCATTTGACAGAGTGAACCACGAGGTATTCCTTCGTAAACTGAGGACATACGGAATCGGCGGCACGCTGTTTCAGTGGTTACACGAGTTTATTGTGGGACGAAGGTTTAGTGTACAGGTCAATGACTACCTGCCAGACTGCTTCGCATCGAGCAGTGGCGTGCCGCAAGGAACTGTACTTGGGCCAGTATTATTTCTTATTCATATCAACGATCTTCCGCAGCAGCTCCAGTCACCATGTGTCCTATTTGCAGGTGATTTGAAAATCTGGGGGATCATTGAAAACCAGGACGACTGCGCTCGCCTCCGGCATGACTTAGAGCGACTGTCAACGTGGTCCACTGAAATGCAACTCCCTCTTAACGCAAGTAAGTCGGAGTTCATCAGTATCACCAGACGTCCAGCCACTCGATCATACACCTTGGACGGCCAATTGCTCCATCCCAACACATCTGTCAGAGACTTAGGAGTGCTCTCTCGACATGATATGAGATCACTAGAAAATACAGAGAAACTGTACCGTTCGGGACTTCGTATGCTCTGGGCTTTGAGACGCAGTTTCTCCACATGGTCCGAAGAAACCGTCCCTCGTCTATTCACCTCGCTCATTAGACCAATCCTTGAATACGGTGCCCCAGCTTACCATCCGATAACCCAATGGGAAACTGAAAAGCTGGAGAAAATACAGCATATCGCAACTAGAATGATACCGAGTCTACGAAAGCTTCCATATGAAAAACGTTGTGAAAGGCTCGGACTCTACACACTATCCTATCGCCGAGTAAGAATTGATCTTATTATGACCCATCGAGTACTACACTTGAATCACTTTCCCATACTGCGGCCTATATTTCACCTGCGGGAACCCTGTAACACCCGAGGACATCGTTACAAACTCAGGGTCCCCAACATGAACAAAGTGTCACATCAGCTTTGTATCGAACGAAGAATCGTAAACTTATGGAATACACTACCAGAAGGATTAATAGAGGCCGATTCTGTGAAGTGTTTTAAAACCCGTATCGACGATTATTTCGGAAAGCTGTGCTTTTGTGAAACGATGCACATACAATGCCAAGAAAAGACATTGTATGCCCGGAAATAATGACCCTAGTACACATTTCTAACCGAACACGGATAAACGATTAACGGACCAGACATAACTGCTGATGATTCACAACTAAATGTTTTTGATTTTTCGTAATTCGATAGAGTTGTACAGAAACCTTTCTACTTGCTCTTAAATACAGTCTCAGTCTCAGTTAAATCGGACTGTGGTCTGACGTACGACTGAGGCTGATCGATGAAGTTCATGTGTTTAAGGGCCGAGTGCTGGCGAGTCTTTAGTCAGACTTGCTTGAGGCCTGCCCATTTTCAACAACGACAGACCGACGCTGAAACATCAGTTGTGCAAAGCGATCGAAATGTGGACAACCTTTGGAGTTTTACGTTTGCACATAAGCCTGAGAAATGAGTGTGCGCCTTAATATTCGCCAGTTCGCATCTTTAGCATTCGAAGCTACGTTTATGTCACTGTTACACCGTGTTTGATTAGCACAGCATT